GGCTGGGTTAAAGTGTGCCAGTGTGTGTGTGCGTGGGCCCGTGCCTGCGTGTGCGTTTGCCTCCGTGTGCGCCTGCTTGTGGGCACAGCTGTGTGCGTGCACCTGCATGTGCGCCTGTCTGCGCATCTGCGTGTGCGCATGTTTCTTACAGCAGGCAGACAGGTGAAGTTTTTCTTAGCTTGACTGTTTCGCTGTTCCCTTCTAGGTGACCAGCTTAGACGAGCTCCTTCTGAATCTCACTGCAGCAGGACTGGCGCTTGGAGAGAGCTGGGTGCTGGCAAAATGAGAGAACTGCAAGGGCTACGACAGTTCCTTGACATTTATTTTTAATGTTACTTTTAACTTCTTAACTCCTGGGTGTTAAATACACAGGCTTTTTTAAAGCCATTCAAGACTTATTACGGGAGTCTGCACTGAAAGCCATGCCATTATTTATTTGATTTTTTTAATAGGTTATTATGTTAAGATTAAAATCATCATCAGAAAACTGCATACCTAATTAACAGGCAGACAATCCTAACAATGCACTAAAATGACAAAACAACTGCAGTTACACTGAATTAAGCATACCACCCAATTAAAACTCCCATGAGAAAAACAATTAGCTACAGCCCTGGTGTTTGTTGCTCACTCCTTGATCCGTTTCCCTGACAGTGAACGGAGCCCTGGGGAAATGCACGGGTTCGAGGAAGATCATTCTGCTCGTTCTGCTCCAGCCCCTCGTCGTGACAAACAAGACGGCTCACAGGAGTCCCCCGAGGTCACGCCGGGGGCACGCTGACGATTGCTTAGCCCCCCCCAGGGGGAGGCAGGCAGCCCACAGGGAGGAGCACTGTGTTGGCACAAGGAGTGAGTGAGCTCAGGGCTCCAGTCCCATCACCCATCCCTGAGGGGCCTCGAGGAGCCACTCTCAGAGCGCCCCAGTAAACGCCCTGCAGTGTACTGATCGTGGCTGTAAATGTGAATTTACTGTCGATTGACTTGCCTGGTTAAATAAAGAACAACAAAAAAACACTGTAGCCATTTTGTTTTGTGACTCAAGCGTGAGTCCGAAACTGGGCTGTAGGCCATGTCTCATTTGCAGGGCTGTTTTTTTTTTTTCTTCCTGGTGTGAGATTACAAAAAAAACAAACCTGTCGTCTGTCCTCACAGCGATCTGCTGCAACAGAACAACGAGAAACAAGAAACCAGACGAAAACACAGCAGCTCTGGTGCCAGCCTCTGGACGTGGCACCCAGGCCGCTGGCAAGATGAGCACACTCCGCACATCCACACACTCCGCCACACTGCAGGCGCTTGCCGTTTGTCGCTCCTGTAGCTTCAGCGCTTGGCTCTGTACGGTGCCCGAACTCTTTCGTCCTTATTTTTATACGAGCGCCGGCCTGTTTTTATACATCACAGCTCTGAACCAGCAGACTGAGAATGGAAAGGCTGTGGTCTGGGTTTACATTTACTGCATTTAAGCTTTATTTTCCAGTCTGGAAGGTTTCTCCTGCCCACATAGTCTTACAAATTGCAACACCATGTGCAGGTCTTTATGGTAGATTTGTAAACCCAGTGTGACAGCACAGAGAAACACTTACAGATCACTACCAGATTTGAATAGAGTATTTTTGTTTGCAGGTCCGAGTTATATTTGTGAGACAACACCAAGAGCAAAATGAATCAAGCACAAACACATTTAGACTTGGGGCAGATGTACCTGATGGACAGGGATCTCTTTTTAATACAGCAAGGCTCTGTAATCAAAAATCCCACAAGCATTAAGACAGCTGCAGGGAAGCAATCTCTATAAGCCGTTGATAAATATCAAGTATTCAGTTATCTCCATTAGGGAATGCATGGTGGAATTACTACAGCAAAACCTTTATTATTCATATGCATATCACATTTAAATCTAAGCTATTAAATGAATATCTGGCAAATAACCAGGATCACTGAAATATCACCTAAAAGATATTTAAAGAAACAGTTTAGACATAAATCACTTCACTTGACAACCTCAAACAACAAAGGCCAGACTTTTCATCTGAACTTTTTTTCAAGTTGATAAGGTTCTGATAAAAAGGCGCACTGTGAAGCCATGTAACATAGTGTTGAGAAAAAAAGACCAGCACAGTCTTTCCAGATAAGCGTATCAATATTGATGTGGCTCAGTCTGATGTCTGCTGCATTAACATTTGCCCTGCTTAAACCCAGGAAATCTCCCTTTAAATCCAGCGTTATCCAATCAAATATACCTGATCTGTCATTTCTGCAGATGACAACAGAGACCGAATTGAGCTCCTACTCCTCAGTTTTCATTCTGGGTATTTTTATCCCTGTCCAGAGGGGGAAGCTATTCTGTTTTCTGCTGCAGCACATCTTGCTGCAAATGTGCAGTCCCAGCAGCAGCCATCTTGTTTTCAATCAACTGACAGCTGCTGTACGGACGAAAAGCATCGCGCTGGGACCCGACTTATTCGTAGCAAGCTGTCCCTGATGGCAGTGTCCCGGAGCACCGACTTCCTGGAAAAACACCGCGACAGAAGCAGTAAACAGGGCTCTGTACTGCCTGCTCGGATCAGGATGAGGATAAATAAGCAGAGATGTTCAGCAAAGGACAAGGACAAGAAAGTTAGCCTATGCCAGTGCCAGTCCTTTCTTATGGAAACCACTCACGACAGGCACAGAAGTCTTTTTTATCAACAGCTCAGCAGCTGTCATTAGGATTGAAAGAAACACTGTGATTCTAGAGGGTTTTTTTTGTAATAAAAAAGGAAAAAAAAAACAGTTCCTATACAAAGTGAATCAAATTATTTGTATTACTTGTTAATATTTAATTTTACTGCAAGGTAATAGATTTTTCCCCATAGACCTTCCTGTAACATTGTGACCTTTTCAATAACAGGATCTCTAATACAAGTGACCTGGAACAGTATACAGGCTAAGAACCCAGACATTACCGAGGTTCACGAAGATGTGAACTGTGCCCTGATTATGCTGTACAAGCTCCGCTATGTTCTCTTTTTGGAGTTTCTGAAACAAAATCATCCTTAAATTAAACACTTAAATGAAACTTTCCAGAAACCTCTGCCACTCAGCGTACTTTCATTTAATTATCCATTTGTTTAACCCTTATTGTCTCTAGTGCTTGTACTACCTGCAAGACCGCAGGTGTTTTAGAGCACAAATAAAAATAAACCTGAGCTCATTCACAACACACGCGTTCTTATTTTTCTCACACAGCAGGATGTCACCCTCTGCTCCAGGAGACCCTTAATGCCTTGACACCAGTCTATCCTTTATTTCAGCTTTCCCAGGACAGTTCCCCCTGCAATTTCAATTTCGTGATTCTGTCCTCTGCAAAAATGGGGACAAGCAGTGTGTGAATACCAGCATGGCAAGAGCCTCCAGTACTAGACCCTCACTGGGGTATCAATACTGCAGCACAGCTTGGCAGCAGCTCGTGTTTCTGACACCTGGGGCTGTTACCCTACTAGCAGCAGTTACCTCCTGTCCAGGGGCAGGGACTGGCAAGAAAGGAAGTGCTAGATTATTTCTCCGCAGCCTGTTGATAAGAGATCTTGGAGCGGCTTTGAATCAGGGAGCAGAGGTTGAGGAAGTACGATGGATTCCACATCTTTGTTAAAGAGCAAAACAAGACGTCAGCATTAAGGCAGGTTTCACAGGTGAAGCAGAGAAACAAGTGACTTCTCATGCACACAGGACGAGCCCCCCGGGAGAAACTAAAACAATTCTATGCCTTCAGGGGAATATTCTAAACCCAAGAACAGGAGTGCTTCTGTTTGGCCCCTCGGAGACTCATTTGCATTTCTGGAGATATTCCAACGCTGTTTCGCGTTTACGGGGGGTTTCTGTAGTAAAATCTGATGTAGAAGGTTTTTTGGGGGTGCCAGAACAATGTGGCTCATCATTTGGAACGTAAATGAGACTGTGAAAGCCATGAAAACAAACCCCACAATATCGAACTCAACTCATAGTAGTCTGTTAATCCAACACCTCAAGAAGACCTCTATACTATGGGCTTGGCTTGAGATTCCACAACACACTTCTTTATTTTTATTCCAGATACCCTACCCTGCGGGTGTGACAAAGCGCGTCTCTAAAGTAACTTGTGATTCATTTAACTTATTGGCATAACCTTAATGCGAAACGAAGGAAAAACCGGTTCTTTAGCAACGCCTCGAGTGTCTGCCCAAGGGTTGCTTACACACTGTTTACTAGAGGCCCTCACACGCTCATGGGCCTGCCTCTCGTCACCATCACATGACCGCTGACAGACTAGCATGGAGAGAAAAAAAACTACTTTTGTATCCTGCGCCATAAACCTTAAAAATTGGTGCAGATTCGTGACCCGAGCTCTCTTGATAAACACTCTCTTACAGTCCCAGCCTCGGCTTTGTCTCCCAGTCATATGGTGGGCATCTTCCTTGATCGCGATCAGAAATCGCGATTTCAGTTCTGAGTCACTACTGTAGGTAAAACCAGCGGTGACGGTACGCAAACGGTAAGTCAGAGAAAAGCGCCACCAGCTGTAAAGCGAAATGACTTTTAACTCTTCGCTATGATCGGAAACATGAGCCGCTTGAAGCGCCCCCTCACTCTAACTGGACACGACGTGACCTTCGTGGCCCCAGTCCGGACGGAGGCCGGCAGACTGCCCTGTGTCCTCAAGCGGAGTGTTTTGGAGCAGGTGTCTCACAATCAGTTCGCTTCCGTCCTATCAGATAGATCGCAGATCAGCGACGGGATTGTGTTCCCCAAGATGCCACGTTAGGTCAGTCTCATTCTCAAGCGCGTCGCGTCCGGTGTCGTCTTTGCTCCACTTGGAAACGTTGTTACAAATGCAAACTATTTCACCGGCACAGAAGTGGCGAGGGTGCGAGTCTGCAAACGCACAAGCCACCCGAGATGCAACAGAAACGAAACTACACGCTAGAAGAAACCTCTGTCACAGACACACACACACAAAAACAGTTAAACTCTTGAAAACTTACGCTCCTGTTGTCTCTTCATACCAGAGCCAGGGAGAGAATTGTTGTATATCTCTTTGTTGGGGAACTCAGTAACGGGAGGTCAGTACACTACCCGATCAGTCCATTTCCCATAATACCTTTCCCAATGTGTATATATATAACACTAATAAAGAGACTTCCGCACCGGCTTGCTTGCAGACGGAAAATCGGTGACCGGCGTTTCTTCCGTTTCCAGCCAACTGTCGGGATCTCACCAAAGAAGCAGGAGGCTGGGTGGTGCTGACCAGAAACCAACCTGTCGCTCTGAGTAGCGCCACAGGTGAGCAAACACTGCACTCTCGGCGGCTTGCCTGCGTTTCGAGGCTACAGGTAATCTGATGCTCCTTCCCGTCAGAGGCCACACCTTCGGCGCTAACGCCGGGGTGCGAGGGCTCAGACGGTCGTTTCACTGAGCCACTGCATGAACACTGCCCAGGTGGAAAGGATCGCTTTTTCCTATAAACTGACTTATTCCCTTTATTTTTCACGACTCCGTTCGTAGTAGCCAAAAAGTTTCACT